CCTGGTTTTCTATATAGAGGGGATATATTTATATTCATTGTTTATATTTGTATTGATCATTTTCTCCCTTTTGTCATTTCTTTGGAGCTTATTATTTTAAGGAAGACATGTATTTTTCTCCCAGCCTCCTGAATATTTTATCTTGTAGAATTTATTTAATGTTAAATAATTACATTGATATTATATTGTCTTTTCCTGTACACATCATATCATCTAATGATTGAAAAGTTCTTTATCCTGCTTTTCTGTTTTTCTGCTCTATCTGCTTTGTTTAAAGAAGAATTTACTTTCTGATGAGTCTAAAAAACACTTAAGTTCTTATTATGAGTATTTCTGAAGATGTAATAACCCTTGGCTGGTTAAGTACATTAATTGCTTCATGTGTGCTTCAGCATTATTGAGTAAACTTTGCAAGCTATCGCAGGCATGATGGCATGCAGCTTTGATGCCAGCCACACAGGAGGCTGAGGCAGGAGCATTACAAATTGAGGTTAGCCTGGGTTACATAGCAAGACCCTGTCTATAGAAAGTAATAATAATAAACAAACACAGAGACAGGCTTTCACATCAGTAACTTAACTTTACAGTTTAAGAAGCTAGAGAAAAAGAACAGTAATTTAATAGAACAGTAATTTCAATCTAACAATTGAAAACCAACAGAAGAAACAATATAGATTAGAATAAATAAAATAAGGAATAGAAGGCAATAGAATCAACAAAATCAAAAGTTGTTTCTTCAGAATTATTAATAAAATTGACAAACTTTTAGTTAGATTGACTGGGAAAAAAAGCAAAATCAAATTACGACCATCATAAGTAAAACTGAGTGACATTACACTGGACTTTACAGAAAGAAAAAGGATTGTAAGTGAATGCTGTGATCAACTGAATGCCAACAGGTAGACAGTCTTGATGAAGTAGACAAATTTCTGACAGTACACATGCTGTATCAAAACTGGCTCAGGAAGAAATAGAAAATTTAAAAAGAGCCGAAACAGATAGAGATAGAGTCAGTAATAAGTTCAGTACACATACTTTATCAAAACTGGCTCAGGAAGAAATAGAAAATTTAAAAAGAGCCGAAACAGATAGAGATAGAGTCAGTAATAAGTTCTTTCCAGTGAGAAAAGCCCAAGACCAAACATTTTCACTCGTGAATTATACCAAGTTTTTAAAGAAATAAGAGCAGTGTCTCAAACACTTCCTTATTCTAAGAGGGCAGCAGTATACTGACACCACAGCCACAGAGACACTGATACATAGGCAGAGGGAAACTGCAAACTTCTTAAATATTGATCTAAACATCTTCTGCAAAATATTAGCAAACTGAGGGCAGCAGCATTGTTAAGACTGTACAGCACAACCAGGGTGGGTTGTGTCCATGCAAAAGTGTGTAACAAATACACATTGGTCAGTGTAATTCACCACATTACTAGAATTAAGAAGGAAACTATATGATTGTCTCAGCTGGTATAGAAAGAAGAATCTGACAATAACTGAAACTTTTTATGAAAACATTTAACAGACTAAAAATAGAAGGGAACTTCCTCAACTTAGGAAAGTTTATTTTTGAAAATCCATGGCTAATGTACTCAGTGGTAACAGTGTGGTAGACTACTGTAGGGTCAAGAACAAGACTATTTCCACTACTTACGTTCAAATTTGTATTGCACATTCTAGCCAGAGCACTAAGGTAAGAAAAAGAAAGAAAAGGCATCCAGTTTGTAAAATGAGGTAAAACTATTCCTATTGGTACATAAGATCTTACATAGAGAAATTTCTAAGGAGTTTACAACAAAACTATTATATAGGATATAAGATCAACACATAAAACTAGTTTTATACATTAGTAATAAATTGAGACTAAAATACACAGGAATAAATTAGAATGAGGTATAAATTTAAGCATATAATATAACTGAAAACTGCAAAACATTGTGGAAAGAAATTAAATAAGTAGAAGTATATTCAATATTAGTAGATTGGGAGATTTAATATTGTTAAAATGGCAGTAGTCCCCAAAGCAGTCTTACATATTGTCTAATTCCTATCAAAATTCCAATTGTTTTTCACAGAGATAGAAACACTAATCCTTGTTTCAAGAGATCCCAAACAACAAAAATAATATTAGAAAAGAAAATATTAGAGTGTTCACCCGAATAGCCAAACTTAACTAAAAAACTACAGTCATCAGAATTGGTGATACTGGCCCAGGGTAGACATGAAACCAATCAGGTAGAATTAAGACTCCATAAGTAAACCCAGATATCTGTAGTCAGTTGATTCTCAGAAAGCCTGCCGAGGGACACAGTCATCTCATTAACGGATGATCTCTGCTCAACCACACATCCACAGCAGGAGAGTAAAGTTCGACCCCTTCTTCATGCCATATACAAAAGTTAAACCAGAGTTTATCAAAATCTTAACTGGTAAACGAAACTGTAGCACTCTTGGAAGGAATTAGGGTTATATCTTCATGGACTTAGATTTGATAATGGATTCTTATATATGATATCAAAGAACGAAAAAAGAAATTGGTCATCATAAGAATTGAAAACTTATGCATTTAAAAGGACATTATTAAGAAAGTAAAAAACTTACAGACATGAAAGAAAATAATTGCAAATCATATATCTAATAGTGGCCTAGCATCCAGAACATACAAAGAACTCTTACCTGACACAGCCATGCCTGCTATAATCCCAAATATTTGGGAGGCTGAAGCAAGAGGGTCACTAATTCACAAGGCTGAGCAGCTTAGTGAGACCTTCTCAAAAAGGGCTGGGGATATGTGTAGCTCAGTGGTAGAACACTTGCATAGCACTGTTCAGGCCCTGGGTTTAATCCCAAGTACCCACCCTCCCCAATTAAAATCTTAAAATTCAACCACCAAAAGACAACCCAATTTTTAAAATGGGTAAAGGACTTGAACAGACATTTCTTCAAAGATACGTGTATAGCCATAAAGCCTATGAAAAGATACTCAATATTGTTAGTCATTAAGGTAATGCAAAGCAAAACCACAGTAAAATGCTATCTTAGCAATATGTCTGGGAATTTTGGCATAATTCCAGCACTTGAGAGACTGAGGAGGATGGCAAGTTCAAAGTTCATCCTGGGCTGCATAGCAAATTCATAGTGAGATGCTGTCTCTAAAACAAGAGAATGCCTACATTGAGAAAAGAAACAAACAAATGAAATAGTGTGGGCAGAGATTTAGAGAAATTAGAATCCTGTACATTGGTGACAAGAATGGAAAATGTTTCAGCTATGGTGGGAAACAGGCAGTTTCCTAAAACGGTAAACACAGAATTAGCACAAGACCCAGCAATTCTACTAGGTATGTATCTACCAGTTTTGAAAATAGGCACTCAGATAAACAACATCACTTGAACATGGCTGCCTCGTTCCCAGTAATGCTTCAAACATCTGACCTCCACGGCCACGTAAAGGAATAAAGTACTAATGCCTACTGTCAGGTACATTATGGCCACACATTATGCTGGGTGAATGAAAGCAGAGGCAAAAGCTTACATATTGTGTAACTATGTGAGATATGCAGAATAGGTGAGTTTGTAAAAACAGCAGCTGATGGTTGCCGTAGGATATGTAGGGTAGAACGAGTAGTAACTGAATAACAGGTATGTGGTTTCCTTTTATGGTGATGAAGGTATTCCAAAACTAGTAATGATGGTCGTACATCATGGATGAGTTAAATCTCACCGATTGAAGGCTTTTAAATAGTTCTATCCAAAAAAAAAGTTTTATCTTACAGAAGTTCTACCCCAATGTTATTTAAAGATGAATGGAGGTGGGGCGGGGATGTGACAGCTGCTGTTCCAGAGTTCTGCTAGTTCTTCCTGAGCAGAGCTGCAATTTGTTTCTGAGCATCTTCGGATGTACAGTGGGTGAAAGGACAATTTACTAAGAGTATAGTGACAACCGTCAGTGTTCTGCTTGCTTAGTCAGTGTATAGTGCTTGTGCCAGAGGACCCTCACCTCTCTTCCTTGAGAGTGTCCCTTCAAGTGTGGTCAACACACTTTCCCTTTGAGATTGCGTTTCAGTCTCCTGCCTCTCAAGTCCATGTAATCCATTTTCATCTTATTCCAGAACTCCTCCAGTCAGTCCATCACTATGGCATACACAGGTTCTCTTCTTAACCTTATCACCATGATGGATTTCTTACAATCACATTTTTTGGGTTGCTACACATTAGAAAGGCTAGCAAATACCTTAGTTGACAGGCTCAGAGTCTGAGAAAGGAATGGAAGATCACTGTAGACCACATAGAACAAGAAGAATTCTATCCGAGAGAACTTTTAAGTCTGTTAGTACAATGGGAAGGGACAAGACAGCAGCTTGTGCAGGGGAGTGAGGAGCCGTGAAGTGCCAGCCCTCAGCCCTCGTTCTCAGCCCTCAGCACCGGCTGAAGAGTAAGCTGCATGGATGTGGTGTTCAGAAGTGCCCTGCAATGATCAGCCCACAGTGAGGCACTGACTCCCATTCCACTTTACTAGAGATTTTGAGAAAGTAAGTCCAAAGGACAGTGTCAGGTGAGGAGGAAGACACTCAAGCCTCTGCCGTGGCGTATGAGTGAAGAGAACAGGAGTGGTCAGTCTTGGAAACATGGCCAGTCTTGAAACACTGAAAGTGCTCTGAAAAGAAGGGGAAAAAACAACATACTGCCTGTGTGACCATGAAGGCATTCAACTAAAGTCTGGGTGACCACTTTTCAAAGGTATTGTTCATGAATTAATATGGTGTATTTCAACGATAAGATTAATAGATCTACTTAATACTAAAATGCAGGCGGGGGTGGGTGGGAAGAAGAAAAAATACTGCCTGAAACCTGTGGTCTGACATCATTTAGAAAGTACTGGGTGCTTCCTAAATTCAAGACATTACTAAAGATGCCATAAATAATTTAGAAGTAATGGGATTTTCAGGTTTGGTCCCTACCTGCAGAAAGATGACTGACTTCTTTGGCCTTGTTTTGTAGTCTGCTCTTCTGAGACAAGATCTGGGGCTTGGGAGCCCAGCCCAACTATCTTCTTCAGGAAAACCGGGAACCCCATACTACTCATTCTCTACCACAAGTTCCAGGAGAAGACCCCTCCATGACTCTGCAGCACTTGGTGAGTGCATCACCCAGCATATCCCGCCCCCCGAGGGGCAGCCTGCGTGCCCCACCTCCTTCCCTCCCTTTCTTTTTGTTCCCAGGTAGTCTATACTTGTGGCTATGCCTTTAATTAGAAAAAAAAATTAGTTTCTTGGTTACCATTGATTTGAGGGCTTACTTGCATATAAGGAATATAAGCTTGACCATTCTTAATCTAAAAAGCTCCAAAATCCAAAAAATTTTGATGTTGACATTACACCACAAAATTCCACAGCTTACTTCTTGTGATGGGTTGTAGTGAAGTCATAAAAACACTGACAATTCTGTATGAAATTCCTTTCAGGCTGTGTGTATAAGGTGTATATGAAGCGTAAATGAGTTCAGTGTTTAGATTTGGGTCTTATTTCCAAGATACCACATTATGTCTATGCAGATGTTCCGGAATCTGAAAGAAAAAATCTGTAATCAAAAACACTTCTGCGGTTCCCGGTACCGGAGAAAAACCGAAAAAAAAAAAAAAAAAAAAAAACACTTCTGGTCACAGTTCAACCTATATCCATTAATACATCAGTGAAATATTAAAATTCTAACTTTCACGAATACATGTTAACCCCACCACTACCGTGACTGGGCTCAGGGCACTGTACCAGTGAGCTACATCCCCAGACCTTCTCATTTTTTAATTTTGAGACAGGGTCTCAGTAAATTGCCCGCACTAGCCTCAAACTTGAAGTCCTTCTGCCTTACAGGGTGTATGTGCATCCTGTGAGTAATTTTGGAAGATGATTTGTTTTCAAGCCATAATTTTAACAAGTTTCAAACAACCAATTTTAATATTTATTTAGTCTTCCATGTGAGGAACTAAATAAAAAAACTGAGGCTTAACCAGTTTTTTCCTCACATGTCTCAATATTAACACTTTGGTTTTGACTAAAATTGAAATAATACTGAACATGCTACAAAATGGTTTTGTATACATTTTCATTTCAGTAGTACAACAGCATTAATGTTAATTCAGTAGATATAATCTCACACTTTACAGAAAAACTGAGGCTGCAAGGAGGACATGTTCATATAATGAGTATGTAGCTTAGCTGACACAAAATTTAAGATTTTTACAATACTTGGGAGGCTGAGGTAGGAGGATCTCGAGTGAGACACCAGCCTGGGCTATATAGCAAATCCCATTTCAGCCTCGATTACGCTATGAGCATTTGTCTCAAAAAACAAAACAGAAAAATTTGTTTACTCAAAAGTGCAGTGTTTCCTACGTATCAGTTGCTCCTATTCCTCACTTTTTTTTATTGAGGTAAGATCAAAATGACATAAACTGAGCCACACGAAGGCATAGAGCTGGATGACATGGAGTGATTCAGTGTTGCACAGCTGTCATCCCATCCAGCTCCACAGTCTCGTTCAGAAGGAGACCTGTGCATAGGAAGCAGTCATGTTCCCTCCTGCCCATATCTTTTCTAAGCTTCCTTCTTTTATGTCTGTACATAACCTAACTAAACCAGCCTGTTTTGCATCACTGTTTATGATAGGTCTCAGGGATTCTCTGATGCCTGACCCATTCTCTTTAAATGTCACAGTTGTTGATGGTTCCTACCAAATATTTTTTATATAAGAAAGTTAAGGTTGTAAAACATATTTCTATTTAAGGTAGGCTATGTTCTAAAATAAGTATAATCTACCTAAAGAAAGTATGTCATAGTTATTCATTATATAAATATTTGTTGACTAATGATTTATTTATGTAACTTCTGTTAAGCCTGTATATTTGGTACAGTATTTCTAGTCTCTAGTTGTAGATATGTTTTGAGGTATGTATAAAAGGACACCATAATGGATTGTCACATTTGGCATAGAGAACCCTTCTCAGCATTATAGATGATTTAGTGTGATGCTGTTAGAATCAGTCCTAATGATTTAGACTAGTATGCTTTTTGTTATTAAAGAAATTATAAGTTGTAGAATACATTTCTCTATCTCCTCTCTAGTTTTCTACCTATGAGTGAGGCTAGGAACATTCCATTTGTCAAATCTAGATGTGTCTGTGTTACTCGAGAAAAATACCTTGTTAGTATACTGTGTAAGCACATACTATGACAGAAAGCACAATGTACTATTACTAAAAGGGAGAAAAGATTAAATATTGAAGTAATTAAGAAAGAATGAGATATTTCCTAAAAGCCAGATTTAAAATTCAATTTTTCTGTAAATTAAAGCTTACATCTTCATCTTATGACATAGGCACTGTTAATTGTCTCCTCCCTTCTAGGGATGGTGCTATATATACTGCATCTTTACAAAAACTCCTTAAGGTTGTCTTGTTAACTTCACGTTACAAGTGAGGAGTTAAGACCCAGAGAAGCTAAGTAAATTAGCCAAGGGTGAATACACAATACGGTAGTTCTCCTGGTGCCCAGAGAATCCCACCCATCTCCTGTGAATACCATGTAATGGATTATTATTAGACTGTCCATTGTCATTTCACAGGCTTAGCTACTCTTCTTGACATTATAGTTATTGATAAAAATTTCAGTTTAGAAGAACTTCAAAGATGTACACCAACTTCAACATCTCAAATCACTTAGACATTTTAAGAAATCAGCATTCTTCAAGAACACTTTCTAACTTACAATCATTTTGCTCTACTTTTACTATAAGCCTAATAATAGTGACTAAAATTTATTAAGTGAGCTGCGCTGGTAGGCACCATCCTGAGCATCTTTTACATATTACTGGAGGGCAAGACATGCGTGGAAGAAGAGGTGTGAGGTCCATGTGTTTTTGAGGGCACTGAACTCAGAGCCTCAGTAACCTGCCCAGGCTCACACTGTTGTCTGAGGACCTGAAACTTGAATCCCATCTGCTTACTCTCTTTACCACAATGTTTAGCCTCCCAAAAGTCAGCTAAGAGCTCCCGACTCCTGATTGTAAATCAGCCATTCAGTGGACCCACACAGGGGAAGCTGACGGTGAGACGCATCTTACTGTCTGGGAAAGACTGGTAACAACTAAGCAGCAGCATTTTCTGTTAATGACCCCAACATGGAGACAAGCACTGAACTGATAGGAGCAGTTTGGTTCATTCTTGTATAAAATACGGTTTTTGTTCAGGGAATTCTGTATTACTTGTGAGCAGTTGGTCTCCAGAAACACTTCACAAAGAACAAAGATTTTGCCTTTAAGCTTTACAAATATAGAGTATGCCAGATGTTGTTTATCTTTGGCATGTCTGTTTTGAGGAAATATAGGCTGCCGCTAATGATGCTATTTCCTCATTTTATTGTATAGAATTTTTCCACGTGCTACTTTTAAGTTGCTTTTTAAGCTTTTAAAAGCCTCCTGGCCTATCCACCGTAGAGAATTCTCAGCTTAAATTTAAATGGGTTTCATTCTTTCTCAAGCTGCATGCTCTATTGTGTGGTATCATTTATGACCCACGAAATTACTGTACTTGTTTAATCCTTGTTTTCACAGTTTTCAATAATACTGGACTTTATATCAGCCTTTCCCTATGACCTCTCTTCCCTAATAATGAACCCCTCTGCAAATCTGGAGCTTGACTTACTATTTCTGTAAGATTGGAAAGCTGTTCTTACACTTTATTTTATAGTAAATAAGGTGTACAAGTTTTAAATTTTACAGATGAGTAAAGTTAAAATACCATACGAGGCTGCCTGAGCACATGAAAGTACTCATTTTTCACTTATAATGATAAATTGTGTCTTAGAAAGAAATATATTTTCTGTAGTTATTTCCTGAAATAAACACAAGCATTTGAGTATAAATGGTACAGAGGTGCTGATGTAGTGTTAATAATACGCATTACTAAAGTAAATGTTCTTACTCGATACTGGATGTCATCTACGCCAGTGCTTACATTTAGTAGTTCATGTAGCAGGTACTGACATTATTTTAACCTTAATTTTTCATTCCTTAAATTTTTCTTAGCTTTTTAACAAGTTGTAATCTTGTTATAAAGATTACCTTAATCAAGAATCTTAATCAAGAATCTTAATCAAGTTATAAAATCTTTTTATTTTTTAAAATATGCTTTTAAACCTAATTCTCAGTGTGATGCAGATACTAACTTTGTATCTCTGTTGAAGAAGTATGTGATGTTCAGGAACTGTTTCAGGGCTGGGGATTTAGCTCAGCGGCGCAGCGCCTGCCTGGCAAGAGTAAGGTCGTGAGTTCGATTCCCAGTACTGGAAAAAAAAAAAAAGAAAAGAAACTGTTTCAACAAAGTCCTTCTCTCAAATGAAGCATAGATAAATGATGTAAAGTGCCCTGCATCGCACCTGTCACATAACAGATTCGTAAGAAATCTAAGTTCCCTTTCTAGATACATGCTTAGTGGTTTATTGTTTCCTTTCTTGCTTCACTTACTGTTTTCTCCCTAAACTTAGGGGATGTGTATTCCAGACTGCATTACTCTTTTCGAAGAACCTGTTGTGCAGTGCATCCACTTACAAGAAATGACACTTTCTGTTTCTCTAGTGACTGTGGAACACGAGAAAAAAGAAAAGCATTAGGGGAAAAATTATGTCTATTCTTTGGAGTCTGACTTTTTTCTGATGTAATAATATGTTAGTGAAATATATTATTTTCCATGCGCAGATCCATTGCAAGCAAAGAAAGTGAGAAAGGTCCCTCCTGGTCTACCTTCTTCTGTAAGTATCGATTTTTTAACAATGTTAAAAAATTTTATTTCGAATAAATACAAATATTCAGTATTTTCTTGCTACAAGGGTACACGCAGTTGGTGCCACTGGGCATACTTAACAAAATCATTGATTGAGGTAAATCCACATTCATGTTAAGCTTTTGGATTTCTCTGCAATGATTTGTAGCTTACTCATATGCTCTTATTCCATGTTCCTGTCATTTGAATTCCCCTCTTGGGAAGAAGACTAGGCCAGTAGCTGTCAAAGAAGATGTCCTGTACAGGTCTTTTGATGTTTAATTAGTCATTATGTTGCTGAACAGGAGGACAGACAGAGATTAATAGCTGAGAATCTTAGAAATTTACATTTGTAATAATCCCAGTGGAGCTAAAGACATTAAGATTCGGAGGACATGCTCAGCTCAGCTTGGCGCAGTAGGACTGAGGTTATTAATATGCATAAATCACCGAATCAGATGTTCATTGTGAGGTCCTTGTGGATTTTAAAGCCTTCATTAAGCCTTTCCTAACTTCAGCCTCGCATCGGGAAAGCTTTCAAGCAACTAGTTTGTTGATCTCTCTTTGCTCAAAAATGTATCCTTTGAGAATAAAGGGCTTTGATAAAGGAGGTTGGAAAGGTTTGGTAGAACAATCATTAATGGGTGTGATAATCTAATATTATAGGGGAGTTTGTGCTATTAAATATACTTTAAAGGAAAATTATTTGTAAATGAGCCTATATCATAAATCCACTCTAATGTTAAAAATCTCAGTACAGGAAAGGAGTGCCCCCCGCCCCCAGTAAGTAAGGAGTGCGACTGTTGAAGTGAGGCCCCACGTCTTGTAAGGCACATCTCTTTGTTGTGTAAATGGATGTTGGGCTTTTATTTAGCCATACTTAACTCCTGGGCGCAGGTGCTGCTGAGTGAGGCACAGCTCATGGAGGTGTAGACTGAATAGAATGTCCGGTTTGCCAAGTAGCAATCAGGAAGGCGCAGCCTGGGCCTGAGGTTTTTATTTTTTATTAAGGCTAAAGTAGAGGTAACATCGTTTTGGTTGTTTGCCTTCCTTCTTTCCTATATTCTTCCCCAGCCTTCTCTTCCGTGTAATACAGGAAAAGTCGAGTTTGAAATCCTCTTTGAAACTGTGTTCCAGATGGATCTGAGTTTGTGCAGCCTAGGGCAGCTGTGCTCTGAACCTGCAGCCTACCTGGAAGGTTGGATCACAGCTGCAGGCATTCTTAAAAGCTTTTGCTTACATAAGCACTTGGGCCCACTAGAGGCTGAATAGCTGCTTGATAAACAAAATGAACACAATGCCTCAAATCATTATTCCCAAAGACAGGAATTTTTTTTCAGCAGCAGCTAAAAATAGTTGGGCAATTTACATTTAGCAGTTGTACGCCATGCAAGGGTAGGTGGTTCAACAGCATAACAGATGATTTCTCTTAAATTAACAGAAATATTAAAACTAACAGAACTGCTAAAATGTGTACCAATGCAATTATAGTTTATTACTATAATTCTATGGAAGTAACAAAAATTAAATTTCATGTTAATACTTGTAGAACTGCATAGTTAAAAAATGATTAGTAAATGAAAAATCCATCTTATTTTTTCTTAACCTGGCATTAGTTTTAAGAAGCAGTATACTCTCAGTGCTTCACAGTGTTGTTTTTAGAACAAAAAAATAAAATGTACAAACAGCCTAGAAAGAGACTCTGGGCATCACCAGTGTCCCTGCATTCCTAGTCAGAACAGCATGTCTGCTTGGAGCTGTTGTCTGTGCTGTCCTCAGGTATCCAGGAAAAGAAGAGCCAGTGAATTCCTAGGAAATTCTGAGAACCCTTAGGAAATTTCATAAGCCACTTCTACTTATATACTATATTTTCTAGCTCTGTCAGTACACACTGAATGTTGACTGAGGATATAACCTTGTGTTTAACAAAATATATTTTAGATTAAATGCTATGTTGATACTGAGATTTTTAAAAGAAAAGTTTAACAAAATTTAGGAACAGGTACTTTGATAAAAAATAGCTCAATAACTTCTGAGAACACTTGTGGTTAGACTCTTCTTCTATGTCTAAAACAAATAAGGATTTAAAGTTGTAGTTTTCTATTTGAATGCTTTTCCTGAAAAAAACATGCATTATGAATAATAAAAATTGAATATAAAAATGAAAAAAAAATGAAAATAGACTATATACACTTTTTCATGATAACGAATAATTTCATACTTCCCAAAACTAGAAATTTGGCTGTATTTAGATTTCATTAGTTTGCTGCTTTTCCTCTGACTTTTAATCTATAAAATATATGGTCCCATTACTAAAGGAAGTGAAAAGTTAGTATCGTACTGCTCATACTACTATAAAAAAGAATGGGCAAGGTTACTTAACATGCAGAGCATTGATAATCTTGTTCTTCTCTGCAGAGCAACCAAAACATAACTTTGATTTGTGAGTGAATATGCAGTGAAGGGATTTTGAACTTTGTTAGAACAGCATGGTCATTAAGGTTAAGGGAATGGCCTACCAAATCAGCCCAATTCTGCTCAGCCACTGTTTGTATGGCCCTTGACTGTTGAATTATCCAGCAGGAGATTTGTAGTGCAAAATCTGAAGTTCCTTTTTAGGGCTAAAATGCTATGTACTTAAGGTTTGAAAACTGGCCAGGCTCAATACATACTAAAAAGTGTTGTGAGCGTATTCTACTATGAAGAGGTAATGTTTGTAAGCACAGGGTTTTTCACTTGCTTGTCGGAACAGGTTGAGAGAGTAAACAGCGCTTTTGCAGCAACGATGGTACAGGCGTGTCTGGGCACTGAGACTTCAAATGCACAAACACACCCTTGCCTTCATAGAACCTACTGTGAGTTCAGACATTCAGCAGATTACTCTCATTGGGTGCTCTGGCGACATAAGATAGGTAGAACTAACCCTGCCTTGAGGACTGGGTAGCTGTTGAGGGTAGATTTTCCCCTATAGTAATTTTTTTTTAAGGAAGCTTTTGCAGCATATTTGTTAGCATTCTTCACTGCCTCAGTGTCACTCTATTAGAGGTGCAGGATTTCCAGGTGTGAGAAGTGGTATTAACTATTATCTTTAACATCTTAGTGATTAATCTGTGCTAAATGGTAAGATAATTTAAAACTCTCAAAGACATAAGTAACTCACACCAAACCACATGAAGGGCCAAGATTACAACCTAACTTAAAGATCATTTTCTTTTTGAGTGTTAAACTTACTGCATATCTTGGTTTACTTATAAAATATATTGCATGGTGTATTAAATTTAAAACATAGTTTATTCTGTCAATTACATTTTTATTGATCAGATATGTTTTTAATTGACCTACCACTGTCTGAAAGGAAGACGTGGTAGTAGTAGAAAGCAGATTTCCTACTCAAACAGATCGTGAGTTTTATCTGACCTCAGCTTCTTTTTATGTTATAATTTGTTGGAGAAGTTGCTTTGATTCTGTAAACTAGAAGGAGTTCTTTTTGTTGTTGCTTGCTTGTATTTGCAATGTTAGGGATCCAAAAAGGGCCTCTCTTGCATACACAAGTGCACTACCGCTGAGCTGCATCCCCATTCCTGCACCTCAGGTTTCTATACATAAGAGGTGATGATAAATGCCTCCCATAAGTGTTACTCTGAGAGTATTATATACCAAACGTATGCCTGGTGTATCAGATATACTCAGTACATGTTCATTCTTTATTTTTCTAGTTTCTGAAACTGCAGCCTAAAATTTAAAAAAAAATTTTTTTCATCTCTACCATATTTTGTTGAAAAGCAGGAAAAGTTTAAGAACAAAAGAAAGGATAAATATAGTGAAGGAAAAAATGTTGCCCATACTTGTACATGTAAAGTATGTACACGCCTGGCATGCAATGAGTACCTAATAAATTGTAGCTGATACTGTTTAGAAATGATTCGTTTGCAGGAATGGAACTGTAAAGAGAAGAGAAACTTGTTGAATCACATTTTGCTGACTAGAATGTATACTAATTGTTTTTGCTTTCTAAACTCTCAGTAGTGTATTTTTCCTCTTAATTTATGGCCCCCTGAAGCATTCTCAGATGGAGAGAACTTTCTTTGTTCTTTATTTTTTAACTTGGTTTTTGTGTTTCCCAACATAGACAATTTTTTATGTGTTGCAGAAGGTGCAGAACTCAAAAATAAGAAACATGATTTTAATCGCCTGAAGTCTATTACAGAAAGTAAACACTTAAATTCCAAAATGCCTTTCTAGCCCAAGTACCTGAAGTTGTATTCTTGTTCCATAGCATTTGAAACATCTTTGGAACATACAGTCCTAGCTGTGTGTCAAAATGGCTTGTCTTCATTGTTTTGAATATTAACTAGTTTGCATAGGTTGATGACACATTTTTTGTTTCTTAATTGTCATACTACCGTTGTCCTGTTTTGAAGTGTGTTTGTATCTTCCCACGAAAGCCGCTACTCTGGTTTCTTGGTTAAACTCAGTATGCATCGTTGTTTTCAGCTCTGACCCACGCCCCCTCAAGGAGCTCTATTGTTTCTGGGATAGAACAGATCAGCTCAGACTCTTTTCTTGCATCGAGGCAGACAGATACAGAGCGCTGTGACACTAGAGTTGGTAATTCGGGTTAGAGCTTTATGCTCTCTTCTTGTAAAAATTTTATATCATTGCATTTTGATAGTAATGGCCCCTTTTTCTTCTCTCGGCATGTGCATGCTAGCCAAAGCACTCTACCACTGAGCGGTACCCTCAGTCACCTTTTTTAAAATGTGAATTGTGATTCAGCATTGAATTTGAAAATTTAGGGACACCTCTTAAAATAACTGGGAAGATTATGACTTGTCCCCAAACCACAAAGACCACATTAGACCATATCTGATAATCTAGTGCACATGTACCTAACAAGTAAAGTAAGAACATTAAATAGAAAAAGACAAAAAATACGATTTAAAAAAATTGTTAGCTATCTAAACTATTAAGAAAAATGTTGCTGGGTAT